ATTAAGGAAGCAATGTAATATAAGGCTATCCTAGAATTTTTATGTGTTCACAGTCTGCTGGTGACTAATGGTGTTTGCCCAGTCCTATCACTGACTGTAGAATTACTAATCTTTGGAAGTTTAGCAGTGGTCCATTAGTTGAGGCAGCAAGAAAAGTAGGCCTAATGGACGCAAAATCTCACTTGAGACATCTCAGGTCATCAATTGTAGTCCACTGGCACTCTGATTCATTTCATCCTGAAAGAAATGTGAAAAGGTGTCTGGCTCTGAGATGTCTGCAGTGAGGTGAGAGCAATCCCACCCAAAGGGGCTTTCTGGAGGAATGCTAACAGACCTTATCAGGTCTTTGTAAATTGCACTGTGAATCTCCACACTGTTTACTACCTTCATTCCCCCATGCTGGGAACTGTCAGCTGTAAATCCCAGATAGAAAGAGTGGGATTCATCTCACGCTAAGTTTTTTTTTATAGGCAGTGAAAAAAATCAGTTGCATTTTTCGGCACTCTTCATGTGTCTTAATCTACATGTTTACTCATCATTAGCTGGTCTGTGCCCCCAGTTTTCTTGATTGCAAAGAGGGCATAGGGTAGCTAGATCAGCTGTTGCCATCTCCTTTCATTCAGACGCCATTCTGGGAGACTCAGAGGGCTGGAGCTCTTGGGCAGGTTGTCTAGGGAAGGTAAACAAATTTTGGGGTCGAACCTGGAATATTCAAAGGGTGGTGCCACAACTCAGTTCAGGTAAGGTGTGATGTTCTAATGGTGGGAAACTAATGAGCAAATATGCTGATCATTGTCTCCCTTGGCAATCTCCGTGGAGCTGGATGGTGTTATTCAGACCTGTGAGATGTTTCTTGTAGGCTGCTATAAATAGGTAGATTAAATGGGCTGAAGTAGATATAGTATTTGTTTTCCTTATATAGAGGCATTTTTTGGGGGGTTGCCTTTTACCTTTCAAATTAATGCAATATTTTATTGCTTTTTTATTATTACAGTGGTGCATGGTGGGAAGACAAGAGGCAACGGGCATAAATTGAAACAACAAGGGGTCCAAATGGATTGAGACAGTCAAGTATGGGAACAGGTTGCTGAAAGAGGTTGTGCAGTCTCTGCCCTTGGAGATTTGTCTGGATAAAGCCCTGACCTCATGACTGACCCATTTTGAGAAGCAGGTTAAACTAGAGGCCTCCTGGGTTCCCTTCCAACCTGAATTATTCTATGTCAAAAAAATTATATGTGTTAATATACAAAAGTTATTTTCATACATGTTTCAAAGATCATTAAGACAATGTCAGTTTGGTTTAAATCATCTGCCTCAAAATATAGAAAAGTTTTTGAGGAAAGAATAGAACAGTTCTATAGAAGCTTTGAACTGCTATTAACTAAATCTTTCCTTATTCAGTTCTAGAAAGATTTGTCTTATCTGCTGGAAATTCAGATGTAGAAAGGTGCAACACAGCCCGAGTCTACCATAGTAACTTTGGGTGGTGCAATTGGCATGTCTTTCCAAGGTCCATATTGATGTTCTTGGCTCCTGAAATAATTACTGGAGATACAAACAGCTGGATCAGTCTAGAGTCCCTAACTTTGCTCCTCCAGGCATTGGATCTCATCACTGAATAAGATGCAAAAGCGTACAAAAATCAACTACATTGAAGACAATAATAACATTTCAGTTGTTCCAACAGGACAAGGCTTTTCACATACAGTCTTCAAACCACTGTTATTCCAGTTACTTAAGAGATAATTTCTGTGCACATTATGAAAGCCTTATTAAACCAAAGGGACAGTTTTCACAGAAAAGAATTAGAATCATCCAAGCTAAAGAAAAAAAAGATGTAATAAGGTGATCCTGGCCACTCTGATCATACTAATTACCTTGGTCATGCTGATCACAGTAATTGTCAACATGTTTTCCCCTCTTTCCATAATAGATCATGAAGCCAGGAAATCAAATAATTGAGAACAACTTTTATTCATTAGCTGAGGATTGAATTGGGGTGATTGTAATAGCAAGAAAAGGAGAGAAAACATCTTTGACAATAACCTTGTTTCCTAGTCTGTCACAATGAATATTCCTAAAGAGGAAAACACATTTGGAAGAAAGCAGCCTTCGGAAAGCTATCTAGCTAAACATTTTGTATTTGAGAAATAATTCATAAAAAATACATTTGAGGGCTAAAAGAACAAATCATAAATGCTTTTTTTTGTTTTCTTATTATTATTCTTCAATCAGGTTGATTTAATTCATGATTCGCTGGTCTTCAGTCAAAGGAAAAGAAAACTTCTCATTTTAAAGAGATATTAAACATCACACTACTTTGTAGGTATTTCAAGTCTTGAGAAAAGGCCAGAATGGTACTTTGTTACTTCTGTGACATCAAGGGCAAAAATGGTTTTGCATTAACACTTTTCACTTCTTTCGGTCAAATTGCTAAATCTAGCCCTGGTCATATAAAAAATGAAATACATCTCAGCTGTACTTTGTATGCTATCCTCCCTGAGACTATGAGTAACAGAAATTATTTTGGGGATATTTTTAAAGATGCTTGAATGAATCAGGAACATTTTTTCTGGATTACTCAATTTTTAATAATCATTAGATTTTATTCAGGACTAGGCTGAGTAGCTCAGAATTGCCCATGAATGAAAAGTGTAGTTTAGCCTTCTACTCCATGGCTCGCAGCCGCTATCAATGGAAATTTTGCTACTGACGTGTGAGACAGCAAGCACAAGACTTTATTTCCTTTCCTTAATGTTAGTTCACCTGTGGAGCAATTTATAAAACCACCTGTACCAGGAAAGGCTCCCCTGACTGGTTTCCAGCTCTGGCCAAGGACCTGCAGACTCTACGTACCCTCATGCTTCCTCCCATTTCCCCATCCTTGGCTTTAGCCAGCAACATCTTGTCTTCCTAGATTTTGCTCTGTCTTCTAATAGCCTTGAGGGAGAATGGTGTGACAATCAAAGTTTCTTTTCTGGGATTTGAAAGAAGGTTTCATGGAAGAGAGGAGAGAAAACCACAAAAAAAATCTGCAACAAACACAGAAGCTCAGGTAGACTTTTATGGAAGTGCTGTGTGGAGGGATGGGTATGTTTGGATGATTTGGCACACAGCAGAATAAAGTAATTATTGTATTCCCTCTGTGCATTGCACAGAAATTGTGTCATTTCATGCATCATTCACAGCTCTCATTACTGGTACCAGAACATCTAAATTACTCTGAGCATCAACAAAACAAATACCACTTTGGCTAGCTGAAGACTTGAAAACTTGGGAGTGGATGTTATTGTTTTCATTTTCGCTATAATACTACGCACAGCATCCAGACTGTTAGCGTGATCTCGAAAAGTGTAAAATAATGAGTATTCTTGCCTGAATGTCCTATTTCTCTTCCAGAAATGTTGCTATTCTGTGCTGGAAGCAAGGTTTACTTTTCATATTTATAATTTTGTGTGTTTATTTAATGGGACAGGCAGGCAGACTGCAAAAATTAAGAGATTTCACTGCAGTTAGTTTGTCACTGGCCTCCAGCTGCTCTCGCAGCAATGGTTTCCTACAATTCAGCAATGTCAGGACAGCTGAAACCATGTTGTATCTGGGGAGAACTGAAATGGTGTTGTGTGGTGGGGTAAGATACAGGGAGTCAGCACACGGGCAGTAAAATTATTTATTTGCAATAAAACAAAGTCTCTTGAGTCAGACTGTGTTTTCCTGGGATGTTGCATATAGTGCCTGGAAAGGAAAGGTGCAAGAGCAGGTCATCTGGCAGTTGTCCAGCAAGGAGAGTTTAAACTTTCCAAGATAAGGTCTGACTGCTAGTTATGGAGTCAGCTTTGAAGGACGCATCGAAGTGGTGGTGGCAACTTCTGGATGGAAAGAGCTGGCTGCGTGCCTCTAATGTGATCTTCTTCCCTGCAGACTCAGCAGTGATCCACCCTGGGTAAAGTCCTTGACCGATGGGATCATTTCGCACTCTGCAGGTGGGACTGCACTGGCTCAGTAGCTCCGTGACTCTGTACTGAATCAACAGTGTCTTCCTAGAGGTCATAATCAAAGAAAATATTTTAGAGACATCTCCTTATAGAGCTTTTGAGTGAGTTTAGCACAAAGATGCAGGTCTGGATCATCTTACTCTGTGTACCGTTTTCAATTTTTTCACTGTCAATATATGTGCACTTCATTGTCTTGCTTTGAAGCTTTTCACAGTGTTAAGGTAGAAGGTTGGATTCACTGTGCTGCCAAGGTATGGGCTCAGGTAGCATTTAGTTGGATGGATCCTATCCAATACCTGACCAAAATTCTCCATTAAACAATGCAAAGTATTTTTCTAGTATAATCTCACTTTTGTTGTTCTGACAAGCGGGCATAAAATAGAAACTTAATGCTTGATACTTGTCAGATCAAACATTTTTGTCCACCATGTCAGTCAGTACTGACCCTATGGGTCACGAGTTAAATCTTCTGATGCTTGGACACTGCTCATTCCTGTGCTGACACCACCAGGGTGGGTTATCCATCTGAGTTCTACATCTGCACTAGTTAATTTAATACTTGGTCCTTCTGTTGCAGACACAACTTCCACATATCTGATGTTGTTGCAGTCTGATGGGTTTTACTGTCCCATTTCCAAATACTGGGTTAAACCAGCACCTTAGGTTTTTTCTGAATAGCAGCTCAAGAGCATTTAGGATAACAGGTGTCTTAAATGAGGTGGTCTAAATACCCTCTTAAATTTGTAGAGGTCTGCCCACATCCTATCAGATACGCATAATTAAAAAAATACTGAACAGACACCTCTCTGAAAAAAGGTATTGATCGTATCTTTTTCTTTTTCTTTTTAGAAGCTGATGGCTCAGAAAGTTTATGTTATTAGCCATGCATGGGCAAACTTTTTAAATTTTCATAACTTACCTGTTTTGGAGTTACTTATCTTGATTTCCTTTCTACTTGTTTCTGTTCTTTGGACAGAAGCAGTGACAGGAAGAGAAGAATGAAAAATGGCCGAGTTCTTACTACTTGGTACCAGCAACTTCCACAAATTCACTTATGAATCCTTGGCTGCTATCGAAAAGAGAATTGCTGCCAAGAGGAATTGCCGAAAAAATACTATAGACAAGAAACCTGAGGAGAAACTGCATCCTCAACTTGACCTAAAAGCTTTCCAGAAGTTACCAGCTCTCTATGGAAATCCTCCTCCAGAGCTCATTGGGGAACCACTGGAGGATCTCGACCCGTACTACAAAGATCGTAAGGTTAGAGCCAAACAAGATGCTTGATTCTAATTTGTTTCATTGTGTTGCTAAGAAGTGTTTATGTGAATGATCTATCTAACAGTTTTGCTTACATGCCTTTGGAAAAACTATCACTCCTTTCTAGGTTATAATAATGCAGGCAGTTGGCACGGCTGAATGACATGCTGTAATCTTCTTAAAAAAAGCTTAATTTTGAATTATAGGAATTAAATAATATGAACTTGATTAACACTTGAATCAGAATGGAAGCAGAGAAAATAAAATGGATAAAGGAAGAAAAGGGGGGGTTGAGTCAGATCTAGAAGAAATGATAATGATTTTGTAAATTTTCTTAAATTCCATGGTTTGAAAGAACATGTTCCTCTCTATCTCAATGCTTATGCTCCACTTACATGTATAATAAATGATCACCTAAGTGTAAAAATTATTTAAAAACATTTACTGATGAATCCTTAAAACCTACTTATTCAAGCTCCGTATTCTAGTCATGAAGTACTGAAGAATATGGTTTTCAATAAAGAGCAGAGAAATGGGAACTAATCCATTGGAAATTATACTTATTGCTTGAGAAATGGTTAATACTTTGAACTAATTTCTACAGTCTTAGAGCTAGAGGATCACTATCAACAATAGCAAATAATGATAAAGGCTGCAATTCTTCCTTCCACCTCTGTATATCTTGTCTCAATGAGAGGTTCAATTTATTTCAAGAGAATAGTCATAAGCAAGATTAGTTCTGTGCACAACTCTTTGCAAGTCCTAAGGTTTAAAAAAGAAGTTCAAGCTGAGGATTTTCTTTGCAGCTTGACAGTTAATGGGTATTAACTCTTTCATCAGTTTATGATGAAAGGATAACAAAGTATTACAAAGAGTCTTCCCATTTAAACAAGCAGACTAAAGTTAACATCAAGCTCTTGCTCATCACCGATACAACAGGATATAGTACAAAAATGTGTTCTCTGTTCACTTTCCTGAAAGCTTTCCTTCATGTTTCTTTATTTCTTTAAAGATTTTCATAGTGCTAAACAAACAGAAAACAATCTTCAGATTTACTGCTACACGTGCCTTATGGATCCTCAGTCCTTTTCATCCAATCCGAAGAACAGCAATTAAAATTTTAACACATTCATATCCTTTTGTTGGCTTCATTCGCTCTCTTTCATTACAAAAACCTATGTAGTCTTGTGCTTTTATATTTTAGAGCATTGAACGAATCTAGTCTTTTCTTCACTTCAGATTACTTCTAATTCTGAATTACTTTAGAAATTGTTATTGTCTTGGTACTCTTGTGCTACTTAGAAATAAATAGTTTTGTGAGTACTGGGGGTATTGAAGCCTGATTTTCTACAGATTTGTGTTTTGAGAATGATGTCTGATGTTGATTACCTGATATCTCATGAACAAGTATCTCATACTGAAGCCTTTCTCAGTGAGAAGACCAGTAAGATCTCTATCCTCTTTCCCATCTTTGTTTACCCAAACTGTAGGAATTAAAATCAACTCATGTGCCAAAGCTGATCAACCATTGGCCAATTTTAAGGAAAGAAGGCTGAGATAGGCAGGCACACATATGAAAACACGTAGAAAGAAAAATTATGCAAACTTAATTTCTTTAGGAAATCAGATTAAAAAATACGTATTTTGTCTATGAAAGTGAAAATTTCCAGGGATGCTGTTGCAGGGAATGCCTTTGGAATATAAAGGTTGTCCTGGTTTTGGCTGGGACAGAGTTAATTTTCTTCCTAGTAGCTGGCATAGTGCTGTGTTTTGGATTTAGCATGAGAACAATGTTGATAACATACATTATTGTGTCATCAACACATTGATGTTTTAGTGCTTGCTAAGCAGTGCTTACACTAAGTCAAGGACTTTTCAGCTTCCCATGCTCTGCCAGGTGCACAAGAAGCTGGGAGGGGGCACAGCCAGGGCAGTTGACCCAAACTGGCCAAAGGGATATTCCATGCCATATGACGTCATGCTCACTATATGAGCTGGGGGGAGATGGCTGGGGGGCAGTGATGGCTGCTCGGGGACTGGCTGGGCATCGGTCGGCAGGTGGAGAGCAGTTGCATCACTTATTTTTCCTGGGTTTTGTTCCTTTCTTTCTCTCTCCTGTTGTTTTCCTTTTCATTACAATTTATTATTATTATTAATATTACTATTATAATATTTTATTTTATTTCAATTATTAAACTATTCTTATCTCAACCCACAAGTTTTCTTACTTTTGCTCTTTCAGTTCTCTCCCCCATCCCACTGGGGGGGAGGGTGAGCGAGCAGCTGTGTGGTGCTTGGTTTCTGACTGGGGTTAAACCACAACAAGGTAATATAGATCCCACCTCATACATTAAATTTAGGGGATGAGAATCACTAGTGTATTGCTCCAGTTTGGCACGGGGGAATGAGACCAGAGCAATAACGCTGTTGCTCAGGGCTAAGTTCAGGCCCAGTGCAGAGTCTGCAGTAACCCTGTGTGGATTTTGGGTTTCCAGCCATCTCCTGGCTGTGCGGTGCTGAGTAAACTGCGATGGGTCTGAAGATGTCATCGTAGCAGGGTACAGACATCCCTGGAGGAGTGATGCCTCTCATCTGAGGCTTCCCCCGGGCAGCAAGTTGGCTGATATTGGCATTTCAACACTAGTGGTCTGGCTCCTGGGTTTGTGACAGTTTGACCATGCCTAGAGCTAAAGCCAGGAGATTTTTTGTGGGGATGGAGAGGATGGATGATGGAAAGGCTAGATGTCTTTCCCATGGACATCTACCTCCTGGATTGCCAAAACATGTGGTATGACACGAGGCGTGAGATTCAGCTCCAGAGCCAAGTGCTTAAGCTTAGGTGTCTACACGAGAGCTAGATGCCCAAGTTCCTGTTCATCCCCTATAGTCAGCAGGTCCCAGAGACCAGCTGGGCAGCCCCAAGAATTGGCTAAACATGGGCATCTAGAGTCCTTTGAGACACCTGCAAGTATCCTGGCACACTTCACGCTGTCCCTTCAGAAGAGCGCAGCTCTGCCAATTTAGAGTCAGTTTTCAGCTTCATCTGTGACCTTGGGCAAGTTTTTAACTTTTATGCTATAAAATGAAACTAAAAATGCATCCTTCCTCCCACTCTTCGGGTGGTTGAAGGTCCTTTTACCAAGTTTGCAATGCTTAGAGCAGCAGATCTCTAGCCCATACAGAAGTCCAGGTGGCATGCATAACAACGGCAGTGTGTTGTCATCTAATATGACTCAAAATCAGCAAATACATGTGCATGCTGTTCTCACATGTGCTTTAAATTAAAAACCAGATACTACATCTATGACTGATAGAATATCTAGTTACATTTCTGTATCAATGTCATATTCTTTGCCTTCACTCCCATGACATACATTGTTCACTTTTTTTATCATGTGCACTATTATAACGAATTGTGCATTCATGGCTCTGACTGAGTCCTCTAAGGCTTCTCCATCTCCTTCGTGGAACAAGTATGTTGAGTAAGTATCTGTGGGTACGTATGTTTTTGAATTCTGTAGTTATATTGAATTATTGAGACTTATCTTGCCGCCTTCACTCAGGATATTTTATGGGGGATTTAGAAGGAAAGTTGCTTTTGTTAGGACTTTGTCATTTTTTTTTTGCTTTGAGGGAATATTTTTGTCTTTAAACTTCGTATCTACAAAAATTGTGGTGTTATAGGAGTAAGTGTAGATTAAGTTCTGCTGTTGAACTAGCTTCATGTCTGTCCTACTGCTCCAGTTTGTTATCCCACTTTCTGAAGTTACTCAGTAATTATTTGCTCTTTATCCAGACACATTTCCCATTGCTGCTGACGCTGATGAAGCACATCAAGAGCTGCTGTCTTTTAGAATTCTTTCTAACAATATTGAAATGCTGAGTTTTGCTCTAATAAAACACTCTGCCAGAAGCTCCTGGCCTGCAGGACGCTGTTAGAAAGTAAAGCTCTTATCTTCAGTGCTGCCAACACTTGCAATGTTAAATCACAATAAATCCATGCTTTTGTAGTCACACTTAAGCTGGATAATCCCATGTTTTTGTTTTTTTTTTAAAAGAATATTTCAGCTCTCACTTTTTTAGTTTGGCATAAAAATGTTAGAATAAGAACCCTGATAATTCTAACACCTAACGCAAAGGAAAAGATTCCAAAATACTTAGTTTTAAAAACAGCTCTAAAGTTGTTTCTGACTATCTCATGTTACGTGACACTGAAACAGCTGGGAATGGCAAATCCTCCTGCAAGCAGAAACAAGACTTTGCATGGTATTAATATACTCATCTCCAGAAGATGCTGGGATACTTCTCTACTTATGAGAGCATAAAGGTTAGATAAGAGTTGTATCTGCTTTTGGCATCAAAACTACTGTTCAAATGCATTTCAATAATAATTTCAGAATACTTCTTTCCAAATGAAAAAGGAAGCACTACATCCATATAATTTCTTAGTGCATTTGCTGACTTCCAAATGAATGCCTTCTGAATTCCGCAGGGAGATTGCTCTCTTGTTGAAATGATAAGTGCACTCAATAAGTCCAGAAGAGCTTTTACTGATAATTTTCCATTAATAAGAATAATTGGCATCTTAAACTGAAAATCCTGAACTCTTGTTCAGGATGTTTCTCTAAGTGTTTTAAACATTCTGCACAGAAATGGATGTTGTGCGCCCAAAGTAAATAATACACAGCATACCACACGTTCAGTTGGCCACTTGAAACCAGAGGAAGATACAGGTTTTGCTCTTTATTTTAGTATGTAGCTAGGAGTTTTGTGTTTCTCAAATTATGGGGACTCGTGAAAGTTTGAAAAAAATTGTTGAATGCTGAAAAAACACGTCACAGGCGTGCACGTTAATAGCCACATCCAGATTGCAGTCAACTGCCGTCTCAAACTCCGTATCAGTCAGATACTGGTAGAATACACTGAAATCAACTACAGCCTTTCCATTACTCCTCTGCAGCATTGGCTTGGGTTGTTGGCCTAGGCAGTAAATAGTCTGACTGTGTCTCTTCCGTTAATTGCTAATAGTGCTGTTTTCCTTCGGTGCTTTTCTCCTGTCCTTAGATTTACTTTCACTGGCATTTACACTTTTGAATCATTGATAAAAATATTGGCAAGAGGATTCTGTCTAAATGAATTCACTTTCCTTCGAGATCCCTGGAACTGGTTGGATTTCAGTGTTATCATTATGGCGTAAGTGAGAACATATAAATTATGGATTACCTGCGCTCGCGCTCTGCATTTGAAGTTCTTGTTGCTGTGGTGCAAAAGGCTGTCTGCAGTACAAAAAAACACCCTGCGGGTCTTAACTGCATCTGAAACCATCTGGGACGTTGACTCTTCCCCTTGTTTTATCGCTCACTGTATAACAACTACGTATGAGTCTTTCAAGAAGGGAATAGAGCTGTGCAGAGCAATATATACTCTGCGGTGAGTGTACGTGAACGGATGCATTTCAAGCAGTGAAAGGTAAGAGCTGGGCTCTTACAGAGTGTCTTACAGAGACATACAAATACAGACATACTGATCCTGTGAGTGAGAGTAAGTTTGAAAATGGTGATGTGTACAGACACCAGGACAGTGGATTAAATTTGGGCTCTTTATCACAAAAAATCATAGTTTGAGCTTCAGTTTGCAGTAATTAGAAAGCTTTTATATGGGTTAGATGCAGCCACAGAAGGGAGATAGATAGAATCAAATGAGTTCAGCCAGTGTTTCAGCCTGAAATGAATAATTTTAAGTGTTATCTTTGTTTATATTTTAAATACATGGTATTTTAAGATGCTGACACAAAAGCAGCTGTGCACAAGCCAAGAGCTCCTTCATAAGAAAACTCCAAAAATCAAGAAATGGGTTTCTATTTTATAATTCTTCAGACAAATCCTTGAAATTGTAATTTATTAATACTTAAAATATGCTCAGAAGTATTGACAGTTAAGAATGACCACTGTAAAATAATAGTCCTGTTTACTCTGTTCAACCACTTGACATATCACATCCTGACTTTACAGGTACGTGGGAGCATTTAGTAACCTGGGGAGCGTATCAGTCCTTCGGACTTTCAGGGTTCTGAGAGCTTTAAAAACCATTTCAGTAGTCCCAGGTAAGACACCCTATTTGCTGAATGTTTTCTGCTACTTAAAATCGATTCTTTACTCCAATCAAAATGTTGGGGTTTGCCTTTTCTTTTTCTTTTTTTTTCTCTATATCTTTCATTGGTTGCAGACACAGCTGAATTTGTGGACACAAATAGTGTCTCAGTCCACTGGCCCAACTAGAATAAATCAAACGTTAGAAACAATCTTGTATTTAATTTATTTTCATTATGCTTTTAAAGACTTTGTTAACACTTTATTATGTCAGTTTTACAGAATGTTCTTCTAGCTGGTCCATGTGTTGTAGTTCAACAGAAACACCTCTGGTGACTGAATGGACTTCATTATTAATGATCTTACATCATCCCTGGGAAAACACTTTTTTTTTTCACTTTTCCCTTAGTTATAAAGTCAGTGAATGTTTTCTCAAGAGTAAATACGAATTAAGAACCAGCAGATTGCCCCTGTCTTCTCTTTCTGGTCTTTTTCATCATATTTGTTGTTTCCAGTGTTTCCAGGTTCTTCACAGATTGTCAGTGTTGGAAATTTAATTTGAATTATGCATATTACTCTTTCTGGATAAGGAAAAACTAGACGATCTCTGGTTCCTCATCCTTGCCTAAATATCTTACAGGGATTAAAGGAACATCTGGAAATTGTAGGGTCAATCAAATGAGGAAAAAAAAATTGTTCTCATATTAATTACTCTCTCATCCAAACTGTATTTGCATTGCAAACATATTTGCCACGTATTATCCAGTAATTTTGGTACTTTGGTTGCTATACATTGTTTTAACTCAGTTAAAATCTCAGTTTTTCATCCTGTTTTTCCCTTTGTATATTGTCTTCCTAGGACTCAAGATCATTGTAGGGGCACTTATCCAGTCTGTTAAGAAACTTGCTGATGTGATGATCCTGACTGTTTTCTGCCTGAGTGTCTTTGCCCTCATAGGCCTCCAGCTTTTTAAGGGCAATCTAAGACGAAAGTGTATCAGGAACTCTACAGAGTCCAATAAAATATCTTATTTCCTTAACAAAACATGGGAATCCTATGAAATGTTTGCTAATGATACAGGTAATTTTTCTCTTTACTTCTTTTTTAGATTGTAGTACAGACACCTACGCATGCATGTATAACCACTGCTGTAAATGATATTGATGTTTTGATGATTGATATTTTGATAATGGTCTTCAGATCGCCAGAGCAGCTTGCAGACATCCAGGAATGCACCTCTTCCCTTCATTATAAGAAATAGCACTCCCAATTTTTCCACTAATGTCCAGCTCTGTTTCCCAGAATGATATGACAATAACTGAAATACGCATTAGCTCATTCTCTGCTGTAATTCCCCAAAGTTCACCTTTTACTACATGCTGAAGAGTCCGTGCATCTTCATTTTGCTGCCCAGTGAATTACTCTTCAGCTTGAAACAGAGGAATTTGTTTAAAAGTCAAAGTTACTTTCTTCTTCACATCATATGTATCTTATGTCTTATATAAGATGTATACAAGATACATCTTTCATGTATATGTCTTGACTGAGGCTGGTGGTGGAAGCATAGAGCAGATATCTGAAAATGCACCAAAGCATTCTCAGAGGAACAGCAACTGTAAGATGCAATTCAGGAAGCAAAAGCCTTGTGTTACAGGAAAAGCCTCAATATACATGAAAAAATACACTCAAAGTAAACAACGTCTATGCCAGAAATATGAAGAAAGCTTCATCACTGAAGAAAATCTCCACCAGCGAGTTCAGACATAGCAGCAGTTATATAGGGAGAAAACCATTCTCCCAGGGGAAATGTTGAAATAGATAAAAAAGCCACAGAGGATTGCTGTTTGGATACACTCCGTGTGGAAGGTTTGTTCAGACAGGATTTCTTTAATAACTTCATAGTCCAGGGGGAGAAAGTCTTTATAGAAAAGGTTTTTGAGAAAAACTTTTTGCAAGAAACTCTTGTACCTACCAAAAAATCACACATAAGAACAAAGTCATTTACATATACAGAATGTTGTAAAAATCATAGTTGAAAGCAAACTTCAAAAGAAACCAGGCAGTGACTAGAGTAGCGCACAAGAGACCATGGATGTGACAAACTTTGGCCAAAAATACTAATTGTCCGTGCTGAAGAAACAGGAAACAAAAACACCTAATATTTTTTTTTTCATGCAAAACATTGCAGCTGTATAAAGGCAATGGCCTAGAGAAAGTAGGGCTCAAGAAATTAAAAATCTGTGTTGCTTCACAAGCTTTGTCCTGTTCACATCCTATGCCATACATCTTGTGTGCAGGGTGATTTGCAATGATGGCAAAAGGAATAGGAGCCCAAACAGGTTTAATGAAAGCTAGATGACTTTCCTACAGGATTTAGGGCTTATAACACTGTAAGCCCAGTTTTCTATTAAATGTGGGGTTTTTGCCTATTTTTTACGGGCTGCTTTTGTCCTGACTTTGTGTGAAGTTTCTATCTCCAACATGGAGAACTACACATTATTACGATTCTCTGAAGCTCAGTCACTGAATCTTCTTAAAAAACTTTTTTGTCAGTTGGCAGGAGCATAGCTGAACAAAATTTGGGTGGAAAGTAGCCCAGATAATAACTTATTCCTTTATGGTGTATTTACATGGTACAGTACAGCCGATATTAAAGATTCCTGCTTGCTCTGACTCTGACCTGATGAGCACAGCTGAGGTTTGAGAAGCACCAGGAAGACATGAGACATCCCTTCCGTCTGGGATAATAAACCCACATCTTAATGGGGCTAATTAGCTATTAGCACTAAAGCTATTACTTTCAGTCTGCTGCCAGCTCAGGCATCGGAGTAACTCATGCTAAGAGAACTAGGGAGAGAGGTCAAAAAGGGCACAGCTCCAGCATCCTAATGGACAAATCTGTATTTCTCAACTAAGCAGGGTTAGGACCTGCTGTGGCTCAGCAGAGCAGTGACATGGCGTGGTGTATATCCACACTGCCAAATACTCTTTCTTCCTCCTCAAAATAGGATTCTGTTTTTATTGCTTATTGGAAACAGAACTGGTCTACGCTACCCCAAATGATGTTTGTGTGCTGATTTGGAGAGGGCTAATTGCTACGGGCCAAAGGTGTGCCAGAGTTCGTGCTCACGATTACCAAACCAGGGACTGCGCTTGAGCCTGTGCCCTCCAATTCTTGATTTCCTTTATGCAGATGTGGCCAAAATGACAGTATTTTTAAAAACTCTTCTTTAAGGACTGCCTTCAGTCTGAAATTTGTGCATGAACATATGCATGTTTATAAATGAGGACAAGACATCTTGCAATCTGGTGCAGTTACTGTGAGCATGGGAAACCTGTCTATGTGTGTGCATATACACTTACAGGTCACTGATTACTCATCACGACTTATATTAAAGGGTAGAGGATTCAGGCTAAAAAGTGCTTTGTTTTTAAATTTTCTTCCCCTTTTTTTATAGCACACTTTGCTAAGAAAAGGGGCACTTCAGATATTTTGCTGTGTGGTCCTGGTGCTGGGTAAGTGCACTTAAGAATATTTATTCTTTGGAAGTTTTCTCTGCCTCAGTGCTTCTATATTTGCTCAGTCATATGAGACAAAAGCAGAAATTCCAGGCTTTCCTTGAAGGCAGAAACAGGAACACAAACAACAAAATATAGTAAACAGTCAGATAATTTAATACTTGTAGAGACTGAAGCATGAACCTGCAGTTGGCTTATTCAGGTCTAAATTCCTTTAAGCCCTTCCAGAAGTGCTGTCTTTCTCTTCCTCATTGATGTACGGGAGAACTGGAAACATGAAGGATATAGCACAGCACAGACACGTTCCTCTCTGTGAAGGCTAACGAGTGTTAAACTGGGAAAACAAAACATGGATTTTGGAGGGCAGGTTTGGGCGAGGAGGGAGATGTGGCTGCTTTGCACTGAGAGGCGAGGGATGAGAATTGGTGATGAGGGAGCTGTCCCGGGTTGGTGGTCTGCTCCAGCCTGTCTTCTTCCTTTGTTGCTGCGTCGTGGGTGCTGCTTTTTCCATCCCACTTTCCAGCCAATACTACCTGGAGTAGAAAATTGGCTTACAATCTAATAAAACACAGAGCTGAATAATAATGAGAACTGTCACATAAGCTGAAGTTTTCCTTGAAATCTGCACAGTTAAAAGAGCTCCACTTTCTATTATTACTTCTAGGGTCTGTCCTCCAGACTATGTATGCTTGAAAATTGGGCCAAATCCTGATTACAATTTCACTAGTTTTGATACGTTTGGCTGGGCTTTTCTTTCCTTATTCCGCCTGATGACCCAGGACTACTGGGAGCGTCTATACCAGCAGGTACCAGCTTTGTACATAGTTCAGAACCAGTCTTCCAGGGAGAGCAACAGCTGAAGCAGAAAATGGGTAGAGAGGACAAGAAACCTCAAATAAAAGCAATAGCTGCAAGTCATTGGGTCCAGATTCTCCCTTCTCCCTTCCAGCAAGCTGTGACTCCTTGAAAAGGGATGCTGAAGCGCTTCCCAGCAATAGCCCTATTACCCTACTGGTTTAGGGACTTAAAAAAAAGTACTAAAAGGGTCCTGTATTGTCCTTCAAAAATACAAGAATGCCTCCTCCATCGTCCTCATGGGGTGTACGATCAGTGATTGTATAGGAAGAGGGAGAAAGAGGGGGAAGAAGGACCAAGGAAGATATATTTCCGTTTAAGCTTCCTAAAGCATTGTGTCTAGGAAGCTGAGTGCTTCTAAAGATTTCAGAGACTCATTGAAAGCCTATTTGATATTTTTTATGGTAATTTTTATCTCTGGGGTGTGTTGCTTACAGACCCTCAGAGCTTCTGGGAAGGTGTATGTACTCTTCTTCATGCTGGTCATCTTTCTGGGCTCATTTTATCTAGTCAACTTGATTCTGGCTGTAGTAACAATGGCATATGAAGACCAGAACAAGGCCACCATTGCTGAAACAGAGGCAAAGGAAAGGAAATTTCAGGAAGCCATGGAATTATTACAGAAGGAGCCGGAGGTACGTAAATTATTCCCTTGCAATCATTAGTCTCAGTGCTCTTGTTGTCAGTCACGTAAGAAAAAGCATCACACCTTGTTTACAGCTGTATATAGCAGTCACTCATCGGACCAGGAGCAAGTGAAAACTTATTGAAAGTAGTGATTCCTAGAGCTACAGGAGCGATTCCTTGTTCAGCTGTGTATTTTTCCTGTGAAACAATTAATTTTGTTGTGGATAATGAGTATTAAAGGCTGCTGTTACTGTAAGAAAAATAGTATTTTAAAATCTGCAAAATGTAAAATTCCATCAGCTAGCAGTTTCCAAAAGAAAATGTAGTGGGTTTTTAATTTTTCTTCTATTCAACCTATAGTAGTTGAATGAAACGTCTCTTGGTAACTTAACTGGCTTAGAAGCTTCTGGAACAAAATACTCCTGTGTTTTGGAAATATTGTCCTAAATTCAGTATGAGAAGGGAAGTCAGCCACAGTGTGAATACAGTCCCAAGGATCCCCAGTGAAAAGAGAATTTTAATACAGCCTGAGTGTTTATTTGGGGAAAAGGATATATTCTATAGCATTATTTTCAAACTGAGTATTTTTATTGTAAGCAAATCTGCCATACGGAGGAATAGCAGCTATAATGTGATTATTTTGCCCCCGGCAGACCCAGTGCATGCAATCATGTAACATACTGCAAACAGCAAATTGTTCAGTGCTCCATATGTTGGGGAAATTCTCTCCTCTTTCTTTTAGTGTTATCACATATTGGAAGATTTTTAATGAGTTTTGTGAAACACAAATTGTTAAGAGGAAATAATATAGAGCACAGAAGGGTTTTCTTTCTGCTTATATTCAAAGTACCCAGCAAAAATATCATCCATGTTTTTGTTTTAATTTCAGTCATTGGTTATTAAAGGAACTGATATTCTGTCAATTAGCTCCTTTGAAGCCTCTTCTCTGTCTACCAAAGAAATCAAAGAAAGAAGCAATAGGAAAAAGAGAAATAAGTCCTTGGGGATAGAAGATAATGAAGAAGAACAACAATTCCCCAAGTCACATTCCACAGACAATCAACGAAAGTTGGTAATCTATTGTCTGAATCTGAGATCCTTACAGCTTTTTCAATTTTAATACAAAAATAAATTGTTTGAAAGCACAAAACAAATCCTATTACAAACACTGATCACTCTTAAGTCTTGATTTTAACAACCTTTTGGGATAAGGAAGAATTATATGTAAAATTTCATTTGAAAAGGAAATATTATAAACAGAAGGTGGAAGGAAAGTTATAATAACAACTGAAATACATTTTCTGTAACACTGAGGAATAGAAAAAAGTGAATGACTATCAGAATTTAACTTCTGTGCCATCATTCTCTGTTAAAAAAATCTTATTTAAAATATAAATATAAAGATTATCACAAAAATAGCTGCTACAGCTGGTAGGATTTTATTATCTGCCTTTTAAAATCTGAGCAAAATCCTTTCTGAAAAATCTAAATAAGAGTTTTGGAATTGGTATAGTTAATAGGAAATGTTACAAAACTCTAAACATTTATGGCTTCCCAAAATCTTCTCTATGATATTATGCCATTCTCTCTTTATTCCTTTTCCTGGGCTTTTAGTCTTTCCTTGGCCTGGTGTACGGTCCCAACGCAAATCAGGTGAAACGCAGACTTAGCCACGGGAACGTGTTCAATTTCCAAATACCTGCTTTAGAAGTTGATTCCAGAACGGATTTTGGTGATGAGGAGACCCGCAGTGCCAGGGAACATGGAATCCAGTGTCGGTCACTGTTGGTCACGCCGATGGGAAGACGCTCCAGCGTGCCAAGTCAAATGAGCCACAGCTCTCACCCCGCTACCCCGAACTGCGTGCAGAGCAGCAAGTGGGCTAACGCGGACGACTGCAATGGGGTGATTTTGGTGATGGGAGGAGGAAGCAGCAGGGTGCACAGTCTAGATCCAGTGTCTTCTGAAGGAGCAATGCTTCCACCGGTGATAGAAGACCTGGGAAAGGGTGGTCTGGTACGTAAAGGATATTATTTTAAGTATATACTTCATATTACGGTTTCTCCATAAGTGGCAGGCTTGTCTTAAGAGTTTCAGTGAAATGGCAAACAGTGATGTGAAATGAAGTATTTTGACATGGGGAGTTAGTTGTCGTAGAAAGTGGTTTTTAATACTCTGATGAATTCCCGAAAACTGGAGTTCATTGCTTCAGCATTCCTGTTAGAAACTCTGGTTTTCTTCTGTGCGCAACTTGTACTAACATACTTTTGAAGGTTCCTAGTGCTGGAATTGTAAGTCACCAGAGAGTCTTTGTATCCCATGCCATGTCCAGGGAGGTAGTTTTGAGCAGTACCTGTAATATTTCTCCTTCACAGCACCATTAGCACCATGCATAAGTTTTGTCTGTAAGTTCCCCAAGCAGGTAGAGATGCTTTTCTACCAGTTTATCCCTCATCTCTCTCTTTTTCCATTAGTTCCTGGAACATTTCCTAGGCCTATTTCCCCTCATACACTTATTTCCAAGGTTTGTGCTTGCCCTGTTGCTATTACGTGCCTGCAGGATCCATTTACTGCAGCATTATTACTGAAGAGTAGGACTTTTGTTCTCAACATCTATTACATCTTGTAAAAGGTACATTTATTTGGCTGCGTGTCATTGTTCCTATTAACATTCATAGTTACCCATCATCACATCCTACTTAATTTTATTCTTGTGGTATCTCTCTAATCATGTTTACTTCTTTAAGCAGCCAGCTGTAAATAATGAGAGCAGCATGGTGCATTTGCCTCCTCATCTGTCAGTGGAGTACTTTAATGAGGCACTTCAGAGACAAAGGGCAGCAAGTGCAGTCAGCATAATTACCAGTGTCTTAGAGGGTAAGTGATTCCTCATTATGCTTATTTCTAATCCTAAGGTAATGCTAGCATGAAAGACCAAAATGTCAATAAGTTTCTTAAATGTTAACAGAGATTTGTAGGTGTGTAGTTAGGAATTTCATTGTTAATCTGGCTCTTAAAAAAAAAAAAAAAAAAAAAAAAAAAAGCACTACCACAGAGTCTGTATGCACTGGAACGCATCCTTTGCCTATTGTAAGATCTCATTTTGTAGGACAGAGAGTGAAGGGGATTGGAGTGAGAGGGGGTGGAGGGAGTTTCTCTGGCATCTGAGGTGCACGGCTGAGATACTGTTTTCTCCTCCTGACCCTGCGACTTGTGATATGTCACTGGCAGAGCCATAGGCATGCAGAATCCAACAATAAGATTATTCAAGCAAAATCAGTTGTGGGAATTCCTGGGTTTTGAATACTTAACCTCGCTATTTTACTCCTTTAACTTACTTTCCTTGTGAATTTTTTGGGGGGTTTTATCCCTGACAGTAACTTTGATAACTGATAGTTTTGTTGCAGGTCTTACTGAAAAATTTCAGCCCAAGTTGTTCAGGATGAGAAAGTCTTGTTTCGTTTTGTCCCCGTTGAGGAGCTCTATCACCAGTTCTTGGACCACAAGTATGGGATTTAGCAGGGGGGTACCATTGTTCCAGGGAGGACCCTTTTTTAAATTTTTAAAAAAATTTTTCTTGGGAGAATCACAGTTGCAACACATCCAGTGGAGCCTTGCTTTGCAGTGTAATTCACCAAAGATCTGGGGTTTGTTGCACGCTTTCAGCTGTGAACTGGGACGGAACAGGACTTGTAGCTCTAAGTGGCTGTGGATTAACCTGAGAACAGGGAGCAGAAAGGGTCTTTGCTGGGACCTGAACACCAGTTCTGCTGGATCCACACTGTGTACATAAAGAAGCCATTTGATCTAGAAGAACAGAAGACAAGAGCTAGACCTGGAATGGGGTTGAGTCAAGGTGATCACATTGGAATAAGCAGTGTAGGGTGGAATCTGAGACTTGAGCCTGGAGAAGAAATTAAAACTAAACAGTGGGAAGAAATAAGGACAGGTCCAACTAAGAAAAGGATATGAGTCAGATTGAGCTCATCTGATCTCTGAAACTTTTTCAGGTCCGTGAAAACCAGATTACTAATAATTCCTACTGTGCTTGTATTTAGCTCTAAGTAAGCTCCAGTTTGTCAATGAATTTGCACAGGACTCGAGCAGGGTCAAAAGTATTTTGGAGGACTCGTTAATATTGATGGTGAAGAAAGAAAGGCTATGAGATTTATATTTGACCAAAAGAATGTAAATGACAAAGGCAGAACAGCTTCTATCCCACATCCCATAGAAACTGGAGAGGTGTGGCAACTTGCATCAGCTGGGAAACAGTAGGCATGACCTTTCCAGTAGAAGAGGCCGAAGGCCAAATTTCAGGCACTGTAGTTTGGATTTGCCTCACCTACAGTCAGAGTTCCTGTGGCTTCCACTGACTGTCTAGACTTCCTTGAGAGCCAAAGGAGACAAAAAGATGTTGGGTGTGATACAGCCAGTGTCCTAGACATCTATGTAAGGATAAGGTGAAAAGTGTCTTAGCTGCTATATTGACCTACAAGAGCGTGAGAGGCTGTGGTGTGGCCTCTGCATTGTAAACATCAGTATTTAGTCAGATGATTGTAGTACACATCTGAGACTAAGACAAATAAATCCTGATCCAAAGGCTTTTGAAATAAGTTCACATGAATGAATTTTGAATCCAATTTTTTTCTGAATTTTATCTTCATGTTTTATAGCTCATGTAGGGACTACGTGAATGGTAGGAAGTGCAGGGAAGCTCTGGGGCTCCGTGTGAGATGTGAGGTTTCCTTTTTCTTCTCTGGTCTTTTGAATACTCAAAGTTGTTATTTCACCATCTTGCTCAGTGTTAACTCTTTACTTACAGTGGGGTTTTCTTTTGCATTTAGAACTTGAAGAATCCCAGTGGAGATGCCCACCGTGCCTGAGTAATTTTGCTTTAAAGTATCTAATTTGGGACTGTTGTCCGCTTTGGTTGAGAATCAAGAAGAAAGTGGCTGCTATCATAAAGGATCCTTTTGTTGATCTCACCATCACTGTTTGCATTGTGATGAACACTTTGTTCATGGCACTGGAGCACAATAATATGTCAGATAACTTTGGATTCATGCTTAATGTAGGCAACTTGGTAAGCAAATTCTCAACTATGTGACATTTTATACCAAGGATTGATTGATGGGTGTTTTCACTTGAGACATAAAGAGTAACTGTAAAAATTAGAGATCAGCAAACTCTGCATTTATAAACTCTAAATTTCTGTTGTAGACAATTTCCAGATTTTATTGATACACTTCTAACACACTCCTGAGAAAGCGGAAAACAATCCTTCCGTTTTAATTGAAAGTGCATTAGAAGTTCATAAAAATGGGTTTTGTTGACCTGTCCATGAATGTTACTTGTGGGAACAGGATCTAAAGATAAGATAAATTCATGGCTACTTTTAGGCTGATGCTACTGTTTCTTTGTCACAGATTTTTACAGGAATCTTCACTACAGAAATGATCTTAAAAATCATCGCTCTAGATCCCTATTATTATTTTCAGCAGCACTGGAATATTTTTGACAGTGTAATTGTCACACTGAGTTTAATTGAACTGGGTTTACCCAAACACAAAGGCAAGAAAGAAAGGCGAAAAGGAGGAAGCCTGACAGTTTTACGATCCTTCAGACTGGTAATGCCTCACGCTTACTCAGTTGAATAAAACATTATGTTGTGAATATAATAGAGAATACTTCTGTTGTCTGCAGTTAGGATGCAGGAAATGATTATTTCTTTCAATTTTTTTTTTCCTCCTCTCGGCACTAGGAATAAGAAACAGTCTTAAACTCCTTGTGATGTTAGAGTCAGAGTTTAATGACATATACATTTCTTTTGAATATACTAAGAAATATTCAGAGGAAAAATATTCCAGAGTAGACATGTTATAAAACTGGTGTCAAAAATTAAAAACTAGCACAGGAAACGTAGGAAAAAAAGTGTCAGAGTACAAATACAGAAAAAACAATACTTAAAAATAGACATGAAATGACGTTAAGGTATTCGTTTCATATACTGTGGACCAATTTAGGTTGCTTTATCAAAAGATAGACTTCTTTTATAGTAAAATAACAGCTGGTCTTCCAACTTTGGTTCTTTGTGTAACATGTAAGTTAAGCACCATAGTCTACATCAAGTGCATTGTATGGATACCTGCCTGTGTGGGCCAAACACTTACCAGGGACTCGTGTCAGCCTGGTCCTTTACGAGGCGCTTATTTTATGTTTGCAGTGTTACCCAGTTAAAAAAAAAAAAAAATCTATATATACTTTTAAAAAAGTATTAGTGTCACAGTGCCACAAATATTGCTGGAATAGTTCAGAATATCTGTAAAATAGTTTTTGCAGGATTTGAATGATGCAAAGATGGGTTATCTCTACCAATATCTAATACTATGTTTTATGTTTCTGCACAGCTGAGGGTCTTCAAACTGGCAAAGTCCTGGCCAACTTTAAACACTCTAATCAAAATCATTGGTAACTCCCTGGGAGCACTGAGTAATCTGACCTTTGTCCTGGGAATCATTGTTTTCATTTTTGCTATAGTAGGGGTGCAACTTTTTGGGAGAAGCTATGGGGAGAATAGCCATAAAATAAACAAAAACGGCAAGCCACGCTGGCACATGATGGACTTTTCCCACTCGCTCCTCGTCATTTTCCGAATTCTGTGTGGAGAATGGATTGAGACCATGTGGGACTGCATGGTGGTCGCTGAACAACCACTGTGCCTTCTTGTCTTTCTGCTGGTCATGGTGATCGGAAATTTAGTGGTGAGTTTTCCAATATTTTCTTCTCTTTATCCTGTGAATGGTAGAATCTATTTAATTGCCATTTTGTCAACAAAAGGTAGTTTCCCTAAACACAGGTGGAAGAGTTACCTGGGTGTGTTATCGTCTGCAAAAGCCTCTCTTGCCTTTCACCTTTAAGCCTCTGCCCATATTTTCACATTTTGTGTGCTTTACACACAGCATCACTTGACCTTTTCATGTGGCAATGTGACAAAGAATATCTTTGCAGTAAATATAATACAGGCAACTGTGTTTCTTCACGTCTTGGGATTTGGATGTAAATAATCGGTAAGGCTTATGGCTTACCTGCTTGAATTAATGGAGCTGAGTGCTTAAGTCCCTCTGTAAATCAATTTTTTTTTTTTTTAAGATCTCATGCAAGTATTGAATTATTTATCAGCAAATGGCAGAATCTACACTCTTATCACTGAAATCAGGATTTCCTTTAATCATGTCTCAGTACGTTTATACCCGAGAGCTAGATCTTGCTATGGCATACCCTACACAGCCTCGCGCACCCGTGCTGGGGCATAAGGGGCAGGCTGCTTTCCTGGTCCTGTTCCATCATTTCTGCCCAAATAATGAAAATCTTTTTCTAGTAGTTTCGTTTCTCGTGTCGTTCTTAGTATCATTCATATACCAATCTTCCCTTAATTTAAGAAACCGCTGAAGAGAATTAAGTTTAGGCAGTCCTTTATGGGAAATATCTGTTCCGTGGCTGAATCCCAAATCCCCGGCTTTAAAGCCCTGCCTGTTCTACACCGCAATGATTGATTTCAGTGGTGAAATGCTGTGAGTGATATTCATATCACATAATGTTAAGTGTCAAACAATTAAGTGCTTAGCTTACGCTCCTTGTTTAGGTTTTCTTATTATCAAAGGAAACAGAGAAGTATCTGTGAGATTTATTCCAACCTAAGGTCAGTAAGTAAGACAGATGGGATGAATTGGTCTCTGGAGGGCTAATGTTCTCCACTGACTGTGGTCCCTGGAGACCAGGGGTGTTATCTGCCCAGTTCTGACATGATAAAAATCAAGATACATAGATCCCATCCCAAACTGAAACAATAAGAAAAAAATTAAATTCTCCCATTCTCTTAAAAAAAGAAAAAAAAAAAAAAAGAAAAAAAAAAAGTGGGGTTTATAAATTCTTCTAGGAAGGAAACCTCACTTCAAGCTTCTCTTGATTTTTGATTTTTATGACAGTATTGCAGATTTGATGGAATTGCTGGGCCTGAATTCGATTCTCACAGGATTTTTGATGTAGCACCACAGAGGCCTGATTTAATTCTAGTTTGAAGAAGGAAGATACATTATTAAATTGAAAAGCCATAACCATAGCCTTTGTTACTACCATAACCTTTGAAAAGTTATTTTGGCCAAATAATGCATTTGGCATGCACAGATCTACTACTTTAAATAACTTTTTGTGGGAAGAGGGTCACGAGAACATCAACCATAATGCGATCAGTCATAGTTATTTCATTATTACCTCGTTTTGGCTTGCTCAGTAAGACTGAACTTTGATAGTATCTGTGTTCTTCAAAGTTAGAATTTAGACTTCTGAAAGCTACTCTCCTGACTTTTAATTTCATTATTATGTCAATGACTTCAAGGTTCTCAACCTTTTCATTGCACTACTGCTGAATTCCTTCAGTACCGACTGTCTCCAGACAGCAGAGGATGATGGAGAGATGAACAATCTTCGGATTGCCTTTGCTCGGATTCGCAAGGGATTTCACTTCGTGAAGAGTGTTACATGGGATACCTGTTGTGGAAAGCTCAGGCATATAAAGAAAGCACACAGGAAGAAAATCAAATTGACTGCACAGAACCCACTTGGATTCAAGTGTGAAAAAATAAAAAATTGTAAAGAGAATTACAATAATGAATGGGCTGAGAAAAATGGGGACAAATGCTTAGGTCTTGAAGATTTTATTACCAATCCCAATGTATTTGTTTGTGTCCCTATTGCTGAGGCAGAGAATACAAGTGAGGGTTTTGAAGATGATGATAAGCTGAGTACATTTACAGACACAGAATACAGCAAACAGGTAATAAATTTCTTTATTTCTGTTGGAACAGTAGAATCATATATATATTGAGGGATGCATGTACGGTAGAAGACTGTCTCTAGCAGAACAGGGTGGTGTATGTTGATCCATTTCCAGAGAGTTACCAAATTTTGAACTAGAACCAAAAGTATGAATGTTTAGAATGAGGGTAAATTATCACTTAGAGCCTTCTAAAAAAACAAGATTCTCTCATGGTCTTAAAAGAAAGACCACAAATTTTGGGGTTTGCTGCAGGAATTCCTAGCTGACACACAGGTAATTACATAGCCTGTAGATTGTCCGTAGATAATTGTGTCAGTCCTTTGTGAACTTGGAATTTATTATGTAAAAATTTACGTAAATAACACCAACTATTTTGGCACTATTTACATGAGAGAGGAAACAAAAAAAGTATGTTCTGCCTAAAGAACGTCGTCATGGACTCATAATATGAATTTATAATTCTGGTCCATTCTTTGTATTTGTCCTTGCTGTGTGTAGAATATAGTAATTATTAGACTAATATAAGGGTAGCTCTATTAAGGTCATGTTTCTTATACAATAGTATCTATCATCCTATTTCATTGCTTTCTCTGAATTTTTCAGTTCTATTTTAATCATAGACTGCTGTTCTGGTCTCAAGATTTCCCACTTTAAGTTTCCATCTTAATCCCTGTGCAACAATTCTCACTTACCTTTTGGCTAGTTCACTAAAATACTAATTCCTTAGTTTGCTGCATGTCCATGGGGAAAAATTTCCCTTTCTCTACCCTTAGGTAAAATCAGTGACTCAAAATGACCATATCTTATCATTTTTGTCTGGAAAGCCCCACTTTAAATGAAATGCATATCTTATCATTCTTTCCCTTCCAACTTGTCCACCCCCCAAAAAGGGAAAAGAAACCCCCCTCTAATCTGCAGATTATTTTCAGGATGAAAATCACCTGAGGCAAAGGGGAGAAAGAGGGAAAAATTCGGGCAGCTGGAGTAAAGGATCAGCATTTTCCTCTGAAGAATTCAGTGTGCTTTACCTAGGAAAGGATAGGAAGGTTGAACCGTCATCACCAGAACAAAAGGAGGTAACAATTTTTTTTCTGTGGCATTGACTTTCCAGTACTGGTCAAGCACAGGTACACTTCTGTTCAAGGATTTGCTGGAGTGGAGTTTAGTGGCAGCAGCAGCTCTGAGCTCGCAGTAGCTGGTCTGGCTGGTTAATGACAGAGCCGGAATTCTGTGAATGAAATCGAAGCCGTGCTGGGTGTCTAGGTATTGATTTTTAAGAAAAGTATATGTATAGAAAAGAGAGTGTTTAGAAATGGAAAAACTACAAAATAATTTGATTCAAATAAATAATTTATAAAATTCTCTCTGCTATTTTCCATTTGTTGAAATCTGAGTCCACACAAAAAGGGGAGGAGGGAAAAAAAAAGGCATTAAAAGAGACATATGCTTCCAAGTGGGAAATTCCAGCAAGTCTGCCTGTGTCCTAATTATCTCAGTTTCAAGAAACGTAATACTTTAAATGAGTTTCTCACTATGACATTAAAGATAGTAGTTATTCATTAAAAATATTTTTAGAATAATTTTGAATAAAGAATACATTAAAAAAAGTAACAAAGGACTGTGCAAACATAAAAGAACAAAAACATAGAGTAGGTAATTTGTAATAAACTGCTGACTCATCATACATTATATATGGTGCGATGGGATAGCGAAAAGCTTTGTAACTGGAGAACGCATGACGCTATTCCAATTTCTACTTCATAAATACTGTCATGGGTGTTTCAGTTCCTTATACAATACCAGATATATTTATCTGGTTCTCCCGTCTGAACGTATTTTCCTATGATTTCATGGTTTTAACCCAAGTAGTTTATCCTGCTTTGAGAACTACATATACTCATAAGCAATTTAAAAGCTCTTCTATTTACCAGCTTATTAGGTAGTTAAATCTGGTTCATATAGACAGATATTGTAATTATATAGCTTTGGCCTCTATTTGAATGCACCTTTTGGTACCTTTAAACTCATATACTTTTAAAATCACAAAGTTTGTTCCATTACTAACACTACCTGAAATATTAGTACATAGCCAAGTCTTAATTTTGAATGTTATTTGTTCATGGATGAAGTTATTGATTTGGAGCTGAATGTAGAAAGAATCAATACCTTATCTTATTTTGCTCGGTAGTTTGACAGTGCCTGCTCTTCTGAAGGCAGCACAGTGGATCTGACAAATCCTGAAGAACTTTTGAGGCAAATTCCAGAGTTTGCTGAAGACTTCAAGACTCCAGAAAAATGTTTTCCAGAAGGTAAGGCTTTCATGATTTGACTACTGGAAAGTGAGAAGACTCAAAACCAGACTTGTTTCTCTAGTGCTGCTGGGCCAATAAGATGAGATTATTTTCAGTTAATTTTAGTTACCTGGAAATCGGATAAATAGACCAAATCATTGTCTCTGTCTAGTCAACGGAGAGATCGTGGCACCTGAAAAAGAAACCCCCTTACCTTTAAAGTCAATTGTTTTTAACTGCGACCTGGGCAATAGCGTAGACCCAACCCCAAAAGATGAGATTATTATAGTGAAGTGAGATGAATTTCACTCTATTGGACAGCAGCCACGTCACTTTTGGGGACTAACATAAGAGAAGTGTATGTGATCAGATCTCACCTGACAATGGCCATTGGAACAAGGCACTTGGCACATCAGATTTTGTTAATACTTTGCAACAGTACAAATGTTTGTTCATTAAATGCTATTAAGGAATAATCTCTGTAACAAACAAAGGAGTGAAATAGAGAGAAGCTGCTAGGATGACGTTGAATTTCTATTGAGTGATAATCTGGGAATCCCTTCTCAAATCATCATACATCTAACTTAATAGGTCCTGTGACAAATTGTACTTTTATGAAAACTATGTGTTGTTACATGTTTGGGTAGGAAGAATTCATAAGATGCAAAGAAATAGCTCTTGAGATTTTTCTCAAATAACTGTCGCTACTGACAGCCAGGGGTAAGCACTGCAATCTCAGTATTAGTTGTGAGAGAACAAACTACATGAAGTCAGTTTATAGGCTCATTTATTCCAAGTGTGTTATATTAAACAAATTATAACTGTGGCAAAATTCTTCTTGGTGCTCCAACTTGCTCTTTGATCACCCAGTCAGCCTGGCTGACTACTGCAGTTTCTACCCATTCCCTGAGTTTTCTTTGATTTAGTTGTTTTCCACCCATTCAAACTTCTCTGTATTGCAAAATGAACAGGAGGGACTTCTCCAGCCTTACATATGTGGAGCCCAGCAGCAGGTCCCACAGCTCTCTAAGCTTGCTTTCTTCCTCTGCACTCAAAGCAGAGCCTTTCTCTCATCACCGCCTTCCCATTCAAGCACCCTTCCTAAATATTTTATCTGATGAGAACACAGATAAATTAAATCTGGCTGTAATTACAGCCATCCCCTTACTGCCCTGTTCTGCAAAACTGGCTTTTTTTTTCCTGTGCCCTTTTTGGGTCAATGAAACTTCTAATGTACAGTTTTAGGATTGAATCAATAACAGTGAAGCATGTAGAAATTATTTAAAGCTAGAGAGGTGTTGTGCCGGGTCCTGTACTTTGGCCACAACCACCCCATGCAGCGCTACAGGCTTGGGGAAGAGTGGCTGGAAAGCTGCCTGGCGGAAAAGGACCTGGGGGTGTTGGTCGACAGCCGGCTGAACATGAGCCGGCAG